GACTCACTATGAAGCAGGCAGAGCGAGGAATTGAAATAGCTCAAACATGGCCTGGCAGGGAAGCAGAAGCACCCTATTCCACACCCTGGAACCCTCCCGGTACTCCTACAATACATGAGCTTCAGAAGCCCAAGGTCAGGTCATAAGGAGGCATTAAAATACACTAAGCAACAGAAACAAATTATCTTCTAACTCTTCTGTCTGCATCTGTATCTTTAGGCAAGTGAACATAAACTCAAATTAACTTGGGTTAATGAAGAGAACCAGTTTAATAGACTTAGGAACCATGAAATGTGTATCAATTAAAGTGCTTTTTAAAAACCATCAGCACGAGCTTCTACGGTTTCAACTTGATTAGTCTTGTGAAGATCTGGAAGCTCGCTTCAGCAAGATGTACTTCCTGACACTGATGGTACAACTCCACTCAACAAAATCTTTCCATCTGTTCACTTAAACACGTTGTCAGAATCTAACACCCTGTACAAAAAGCACTCCACAAACTGGGGAGAGGAGGACACTTCCTCAACCCCACAAAGGGCTTCTATGGAAAAACCCACAGTTCACATCATACTTTGTGGTGAAAGACTTTCCCCTTAATAATCATGAATAAAGGGGCCGGGGATCTAGCTCAGTGACACAGTGCCTGCCCGGCAAGCACAAGGTCGTGAGTTCGATTCCTGGTACCGGAGAAAAACAAAAACAAAACAAAACAAAAAAACATGAATAAAACCAGGATGTCCAATCTTCACATTTCTATTTGGCATTGTACTGTAAGTCCAGACTGTAACTGTGAGGCAAGAGAAAGAAATAAAAGATACTCAGATTGGAAAGAAAAAGATGAAACTATCTCACTGCAGGTGACATGATTGTGTGTATCATTATACACAAATGAGTCATATTTCTAAACCTTAGCAATGAGTAACTTGCAAGTGAAATTAAAACAAGAATTTCATCTACAATGTCAAAAAGAATAAAACACCTAGAAATAAATTAAACCAAAGAAAAGCAAAACACTTGCACATTGAAAGCTACAAAACACTGTGGAAGGAAATTAAAGACCTAAGTGAATGCAAAGATGACCCAGACAATGGGGCTGCTGGGATGACACTCTCCTAATTCATTTAGGAATTCAACGCAGTCCCTCACTTCCCAACTGACTTTTTTGGGGGGGCGGGGTCTTTTTGAGACAGGGTCTCACTATGCAGTTCAGGCTGGCCTTGCGCTTACTCTGTAGCTCAGGCTGGCTTCAAACTCACAGCAATCCCCCTGCCTCAGCCTCCCGAGTGCTGGGATTACAGGCGTGCACCACCATACCCGGCTCCAAATGACTTCTATGCCGCTCCTAAATTTCCTATGAAATATAAGAGAGCAAGAATAGCCAAAAGAGTCTTTTACTAAAGAGATACTGACACTTGCTGATTTCCAAACTTACTACAAAGCTAATCTTCAGTGTGATTCTGGCATAAAAACAGATACACAGATCACTGAAAAGAATTAAATGTCCAAAAATAAATCCACACATCTATGGCCAATTCACATAAGGTAGCTTTCCTTAAGTTTTTGTAAGCAAAATCTTATAAAAGGACTATGAACCCATCATTCTAACTTCTAAATTTTTAACCAAGCCTTCCAAGTGTTCAGTACAGTTATAAGCCTTCTGTAATAAAAATTACTGAATTTAAAAAATACAGCCTGAACTGCATAGCGAGACCCTGTCTCAAAAGACAAAAAAGGAGAAAAGATAAAAGCTTTAGCAATTTATCTCAAACCAACAAATCCAAACTTTCCATTTCTGTACCAGGAATAAAAATCAGTGGCTTTCATGTGGACCCAAAAGCTCAGTCTTACATCTATTTTATGATTTTATATTTTACTTCCAAGAATTTCAGATGAAAAAGTGGTTACGAGCTGGGCACGGGAACACACGGCAGCACATGGGAGGCTGAGGCAGTAGGATTACAAATTCACGCCACGCCTCGGCAATTTAGTGACTCGGTGAGACCCTGCCTCAATATAAAACATAAAGAAAGAGGCTGGGGATGGAGCTCAGTGCCAAGGCCAAGTCCAATCCCTAGTACTACCCCTACGCCCAAAATAGTAGTTAACAAGTAAAACAAATACATGTACTGCATTGACTACAAAATATTTTACTCATATCAGGAGTTCAGGATTTGCAACTATACATATATATAAATATATACATATTTATATATCACTAAAGAATTACAATTTTCCTGTCATCTGTATTCCAGAGAAGGGAACCATGGAATTTTATCAGTTATTGTATCAAGCTGTGTAAGATACAGGCAAAAAGTAATTGTTTGTTCAATAAATCACTGCATATTAATACAACAAAAATCAACGGTCATTATTTATGCTTCCTTTCTTAAACAAACACACCCTTCAATACTTCCTACAAATAGCCTTCACTCTGTCATGGGCAAAATCACATAATTAATTTGAAAACAATGGAAATAACTTAAATTGGGGGGGTTAGGATTAGGGTTAGTTTGTTTGTTTGTTTGTTTTTCTTCTAGTACCAGAAATCGAACTCACAACCTTGTGCTTGCCAGGCAGGCACTGTGCCGCTGAGCTAAATCACCAGCCAGGGTTAGTTTTAATACACTGCTACGTAATAAGTACACAAGAGTGCTACATTAGATACAGATGACATAAATCACTTACCCCTGGTAAGTGAAAGCCACATAATATTCTCTCTGGCCTTTATCCATTGAACATCACTGATGTTTTGCCTATAGTGGGTTCAGTGTTGTATAAACCACAGGACTCCCACCAAGGCTACTTAAAATTGAATCTGTTTAAATTACAGTGTAAATGCAGATGATCAAATTCAGTTCCTTAAATGGGCAATTAAGTTTACACTAATGGTCAAAAGTCTAAGTGTTGGGCCAGATGTGGTGGCACACACCTGTAATCCCAGCACTCGGGAGGCTGAGGCAGGAGGATTGTTGCAAGTTCAAGACCAGGCTGGGCTACAAAGTGAGCTCAAGGGCAGCCTGAACTGCATAGCGAGACCCTGTCTCAAAAAGATCAGAAAAAAAAAAAAAAAAAAAAGTCTAAGTGTGTATTGGAAATGTTGGGGACAGGCAGAAAATCTGAATGTTTAGCGTAAGTTATTCACAGAATGGGGCGATAGAATCATGCTCATGGATGACGTTTCTCAAGTCTGTGGAAGGTTCCACAGCAAAGGGCGGTAAATCCTGACTTAACTCTCAGAGGCAGAGCTGGTGCCCATTCCTGAGTGCAGATGGGTTCCAGAATGCAGGAAGCAAACACCAGATGAATGCATCCCTGACCAAACTGGAACTTTTCCAGAACATTCCATTAAAGCTTCAACCCGTGTTACCACTGCCTACTCCGCTATGGTGTTCTCAGCCTGGATCTTCTAAACAACACAGTGGTAACTACGGGATGCCTGGCCTTATTTATACATACATGCACGGGTACGCCACTAATATTTCTATTAAGGAGCGGGTGACGCAGCTCAGTGGCACTTGTCTAACATGCAAGACACCCTCAGGATCTGATCCCCAGCACTGGGGATGAGGAACACCGAAGAAAAAAAATTCTATCAAAAATCTGCATTCCTATGTGCTACTGCACTGGTTCCACGCCTCCTTTCCTAACATCCACGGCTTCTAAAAACATTATTTGCTTTTTAATTAAAACTAAACGGAGGTGGGGGTGAGAGGGTCGTCAGCCCCGAATAAAAAGTGAAGTATATCCAAGGAGTCCTGAACTCAAAGCCTGGAAATCTGGTTTCTGAGGCCTAACTGGACGCTCACATGACCATGCTTAAATCATAACCCAGTGGGAGCAAGTGTCTGCAGCTGCTAAGACTAAATGCAAAAAAGAGGTAGACCAGAAGGCCTCTGAGATCCCAGCTGAGCTCCAACATCCTATGCCTATTAATATATTCAGACCAAGTTTGATTGTTTTATTTGTTTACTGCAAGCTAGAATGGATATGCATTTATGTAGAGTCAGAGGACTCCAGAAATAGTCTGTGAAGCTATCCATTAAGTTTGAAGCAACAAAGCTTAATAGTAAAACAGGCGCCAGGGATATAGCTCAGCAGCATAAGGCCTGACTGGCAAGTGCGAGGTTTTGAGTTCGATTCCCAGGACCAAAAAAAAACAAAAACAGTAAAACAGAACTAAGAGTTTGGGGTTTTTATTTTCATCCCGATAAAAAAAAGAGGAGGCTGGACACGGTGGCACATTCCTGTAATTCCGGCACTCAGGAGGCTTGAGGCAGGAGGACTGTCATAAGTTTGAGACCAGCCTGCGCTACATACTGAGTTCAAGGCCAGACTGAACTACAAAGTGAGATTTTCTCTCAAAAAGCAAAACAAGGGGCTGGGGATTTAGCTCAGTGGCACAGCGCCTGCCTGGCAAGCACAAGGTCGTGAGTTCGATTCCCGGTACCAGAGAAAAACCAAAACCAGGGGCTGGGGATTTAGCTCAGCAGCAAAAAGCGCCTGCCTGGCATGTGCAAGGTCGTGAGTTCGGTTCCCGGTACCGGAGAAAAACCAAAAAAAAAAAAAGAAAAAGAAAAAGAAAAAACCAAAACCAAATAGATAAATAAATAAATAAAAGCAAAACAAAACAATAAATAAAGAAAAAAGGAAAAACAAGTTCTTTCTATGAAATATCAAGCCCACACACAAAAAAAAATCCTTCCAACACCAGCATTCAACCCAATACCATCTCCTCCTCCACCACATCACAGAAGACCTAGGGAAGTTATTTGCAAAAAAGTTTAAAAGAGGAACTATTATTGACTCACTGACAGTCACTATAAAAGAATATATTTTAACACTTTTAAGACAGAATTTAAAGATAGCCATGGAAGTACATGCCTATAGTCCCAGCACTCTGAAGGCCGAGGCAGGAAGATCATAAATTTGAGCCCAGTTTGGGCATCTGAGTAACATAAGACCCTGTCTCAAAAAAAAAAAAAGGCTGAGGATGTAGCTCAGAGCTCAGCATGACGGCCTGGGTTCAATCCCCAGTCCTTCAAAAATGAAGGAAGGAAGGAAGAATTGATCGATAAGTCTACAAATGTAAGAGAACAAATGCCACAGCCGTTTCAACCTGCAATGACAACACAGTAGTAAAAGAACACAGTTCTGAGTTGTTACAGTACGTTCACATTCACACATATATTCCCTGATTTTGTTTTTCTAATCTCCAAAAACTCCATTTTGGAGTATATAAATCAAGTCATCTATAAGATCAAATCATGCATGCTCAGGTATGGTAAAATCCAAATAAAGATTTGAGCCTCTTCTTTCCTCTTTGGGTGTTCTAGTTTAGGATAGTATCCGACTTACTGATACTGATACAGATCCCAGTCTAAGCCTTTCTGCCATGAAGACTGAACAGGAAACCCCTCAGGGGACAACTAAGAAAAAAGAGCTACTGAATGCTTTTTTTTTTAAAGCAGTAATATTCCAGGAAATGTCACATTTCACAAGAAAGTAACACTTCCCAAGAAAATGTCTCCTCCTAGAAAGCTGCATCATCCAAGAAAACAAAATCCTGACATATATTTTTCCATTTATGAATGAAATACTCTACCCTACCTCGGCCTTCTCCTTTATAAATGGGTGGCTGAACTGCCATTAACATTTACCCAACATGACTTCTTCAAATGAAAATCCTCCTGTGAAAAGGCCGGCGTCACAGGAAGTGAGCTCTCGCCCATTAGCTAATGCGGGTGGCTGCACACACGGCCTCTGCACCCCTCTGCCTCTTCCCACAGACCTCTCCGGCCCTCTTAGTAGCACAAGTGTGCAGCGGCCGCCGTGAGGTATGGAAGTGCTGCACAAGGGAATGTCTGAGTTCTCCACGGTGACAATCTACCCGGGGGCACAATATACATAAAGGGTTCCCAGTACTGATACGACTAAGACTTCACCATATTTTCTTAGGAATGGGGAGGTGCTATCATCTCCACTTCTATTGCCACGATTCACAAAGCCTTCATTCAAATAGGTGAAAAATAAATAAATTCATGCCAGGGATTTCAGTTATATTAAAATACAATAAATAACATAATAAATAACAGAATTTGAGTATTTTAAAAAAGAACAGAGCACTGAGAAGTATTGGGGAAGAGGAGGTGAGATTTTTTAACGGCCAAAATATCACACAGACTCAGGAAACAAAATTAGGGAAAAGGAAATAGTTTTATTACCTCAGCCAATGAGGTGGTTGTTCCAGGCTTTTGTCAAAACCCAGAGGGGAATGCAGAGTGAACTGCTGGGTGTTTCTGGAGACCCTGGCATTAGCCCCTTGTCCTTCCCAACTGCACGAGAACTCTCCTGCCCTGCTCTTCTACCTGTATCTGAACTAACTGATGGCTGATGTTCCTTTAACGAACACTCTGGGTGACCCTTCCTTTGATAAATATAGCCAGGTCTCTGTCCTGTCCATGCCCCCCAACCCATCCCCGGTAAACAGACAGTGTGCACACTAAATTATTCATAAATCTGTGACTTTAGTTTTTTATGTTTATATATGACCTCTAGAGCAGTTGGTCAAAAAAGCAAAATTCTAATTCATATTGCTAAAATTTAGCTCTGCACAATCATCACTTATACATTATCTAGAACTAACAATCTAGCCAAGATTAATATAGCATATTAACAGTCTCACAAGAAGAGTTTTAGTGTAGCTGTGATTCACAATACTGAAGATCAGATCAAATAATTATGTATTCATTGCTTTTGGCTGGCTTAAAATTGACTTAGCTACAGAGGAACTAAGAGCACAATAACATTTCCTTTTTAATGATAATTCAGTGACAACACGTAAGTATGACTTTGGTATCAAAAGGCTACAGAAATATTCTTTCATCTGGTAAGTTTTACTAAATTCATGGAGTGTGGGGGAAAGTTAAAAGCAGCAGAAGAAATATGGGTTGTAATACTGATACTATCAACCTATTTCTATTTTCACGTTGGAAATATTCTTATTTGGACATCTGAAAGTTAGGATGATTATCACCTAGTAACAGCAATGAATTATAGTATTATCTAACATAACGGTAAACAATACAAACTCTCGGCACTCTTCAATACTTTTTTGAAGTCGTTTCAGTAAAGAGATAAAAGAAATCCAAAATGGAAACAAGAAAATATACTCGAGCCTCCGTGAAGCTATACGACAAGGAGAATAATAGGCACAAAAATAGAGCAGAGGGTAGGGAAGTACGGAAAAGTTTTTCAAGTGACATCCTCACTTGTATCTAGCTCCATTATGCAGTTTAAATTTTGGCCAAATTTTTAAAGTATTTGTTAAACAGTTCTTGCATGTGACATATGTTTCCAGAATACTTCTGACATTGATACAAGAAATTATAAAACATTTAGAAATGAAAATGTTAGTCTCAAAAATAACACCGAAGTTCCAAGCTTCTTCTGAATTCATTAAGATGGAAAACATTTGGAAAATAGAATCATTCTGTTTTAAAGTGTTCAAATAATGTACTTTAAAAAAAAAAAAAAAACCAGAAATATGTAATTGTTCAAGGCAAGGAAGAGAGCGGTCTAAATAAAATTAGATCCTAAATTTTACTCTAGAAGTCATTACTCTTCCTTTGCAGTCTCAATCCCTATTTGCTCCATAATAAATAAACTGTGTTCTCCCTTCAGCTGGGAAGGATAATTTTTACCCTACCGAGATGATGACAATGCCTCTGCAGTGCTCACCCAACAAGAAACACATGAATATGAGGTGGCGGCAACTCTTTCTCGCAAACGACGTGTACGCAAGTATTGATTTGCAATGCATTAATTCAGGAACTCAGCAGAGAGGCTCCTACTATATCTGGCGGATCTAAACTTGAGCTCATGGTAACACTGCACGAAGCTATGGTAGATGAAAGTGATAGGTAACGCCAAGAGAACAATTCCACTAACAACACAAACTCCTCCAAGAATCCTTCCAGGCATTGTGATAGGATACATATCTCCATAGCCAACTGTAGTCATAGAGATAATCACCCACCAGCAGGCAGCGGGGATGCTGGCGAAGTCCTTGTTGGATGTTTCCAGGTCCAACCCATGTTCAAGAAGCTGAGAAAGTGCGCTAAAGATTGCCATGGCAACACAAATGAAGACGAGTAACATAACCATCTCCCGGTAACATCGCTTGAGAGTCAAACCAAGTGTCTGAAGACCAATGAAGTGACGGGCGAGCTTAATCACCCAAAAAATCCTCATCATCCTGAGCACCCTCAAGGTGACTCCGGCCCTCTGCAGCTGGGAGTTCTCGCCCGTAAATACTGTCATTAGCACAGAGATGTAATACGGCGTGATTGCCAGTAAATCAATAATGTTCAGGGGTCTCTTGACAAAGTCGCACTTGTCTTTGGAGACGAGGAACCTCACAACGCACTCCGCAGTGAACCACCCTATGCAGATAGCTTCAATTATCCTGTCAAGAGAACAAAAGAAGAATCGATCATTTCACTTTTAAGCATTCTAATAGCTCTCACATTTCTTCAGATAGTACTACACTGACATACTAATTCAGTTACTTTTCCAGAAAACATACAGAACAGACGGCATCACCGACACCAGTAGAGCCACCAGGACACGACAGAACAACACGAAATACAGTTCAGACGAGAACTGAACTTGATAAAGCTCTTATTTATGTCATACTACAAGTAACACCATTAAAATGTTTTGTTTTTTTTGTTTTTTTTTTTTTTTTTACTTGTCACTAATACTCAGGAAAAACATCTCTCTTATTTGGTGGTTTGGAAGTAACTTCAACTGAGCTAGCTGCAAATAAAAATTCCACTTACTCCTGGAGCACAGCGGTTCTCAACTGTGGTAGCAGCTAGGAAGTGGGTCAGAAGGACTTTGTTCCTACCAACCGTGGGCATGCCCTAATTTTTGATGATTTATTCCTGACAAATTAGAGCAAATACAGGATGCTTTCCTAAAACGTGTCTCTTCCTTTCCTTTCTGTCCTGAGCGAGGCAGAGCTCCGGGCCCCATCCTCCCCTTTATGAAGTCCAGAGTGGAAAGAAGGCTGAGGATCCCAAGGACCCGCTACTTTCTTTTCTGTAATTTTTTTTTTTTTTTTTTTTTTTTTGTCTTTTTGAGACAGGGTCTTGCTATGCAGTTCAGGCTGGCCTGGAGCTCACTTTGTAGCCCAGGCTGGCCTCAAACTCACAACAATCCTCCTGCCTCAGCCTCCCAAGTGCTGGGATTATAGGCGTGCACCACCACGCCTGGCTGTAACTACTTTTATGTTGTGTATATTTTTAGAATACACAACCATAAGTTGCCCAGAGCTGTATTCACCAACCTTTCCACCTCACTGCGCACACTACAGACAATCAGTATTTTCACAGTATACAGGAGCAAGGGACAGGATTTCTGAAGCAGAAGCCACCATCTTGGGGCCCTGGCCACCCTGACCCTTGCCATGCGCTCTCTATAAGGCTGAGGAGTCAGATCTCAGCACACTGGTTGGGGAGCCCTGACCCGCAGTGAGAGGCAACTCAAAGGGAACTGTAATTAATTTAAACCTTTTAAATTCTCAGTTATCGTTAGTATGCCAGCATTCACTTTTTCCCACACAGTTCATTAGTGCCTAGATCCAAACATCAGAAGTCTAAGGGAGAAACACAACAGTCACAGGAAGAATGACTCAAAGTGCATTCCACAGAGCCCACACTGCACTGGACATCATTCTGGGAAGTGAGGAAATATCATCAACCACAGTTCCTTGTCATAGGGCTTTGCAGGGCCATAAAGATCAACTTTGTTTACTTTATTAGCTTGCTTTTATTTATTTATTCATTTGTGGTACTGGGGATCGAACTCAGGACCTTGTGCCTGCCAAGCAGGTGCTATATCCCCAGCCCTTCTTTATTTTTTGAATAGGTATTCAATCACAAAGTTCGTATCTATAGATGTAAAAAAAAAAAAAAAAAAAAAATCTTAAAAGGTTATAAGAAGACAGAAACACTCCAGGAGGCTGAGACAGGAGGACTGCCAAGTTCAAGCCCCACCTGGGTAACTTGACAAAAAAATGAAATAAAAAGCTTCAGCTATGTAGCACAGTGCCAAAGCCCTGAGTTCAATCCCCAGTACTGGAAAAGAAAGAAAAGGAAAGACAGAAGGAAACAAAAAAAAGGAGGAAAGAAAGAAGGAAGGGAGGAAGGTCAGTTGGTCAGTCAGTCTGTCTTATCCCATTCCCTAGCCACCTAGCTCCTTCCGCAGAGGCAATTAAATACCGCTTTTTTATGAATCCTTCCAGAGTTAGTTTATGCACAACACAAAAACGTGTGTGTGTGTGTGTGTGTGCGCGCGCGAGCACGTGTGTGTGTGTGTTCACCCCTTTCTATACCAACACTGTTGTGCTTTTTGTCAGCTTAATGCATCCTGGAGATCATTCCCTACCAGTGAAAACAGCCTCCTCATCTCTTAAACACGGCAGCACAGGACTCTACTGAAGGCTTGCACCGTGCTGCATTTAACCAGTTCACCGGGCGGACGTTCAGGTAGTTTCCAATCTCCAACGCCAAAAACAATGGTGTAATGAATATTCTTGTTTCTACATTATTTCATAATAGTACAAATATATCTGTAGGATAAACCTCAGATTTGGAATTCTGTACTAGATTAAAGGCAAAGATTTTGATAAATCTTGCCAAACTACCCCCACAGAGGTTATACTAAATTACCCTCCCACCAGCAACATATGGCAATGTCTATTTCCCACAGCCTCCCCAGTGTAAAGTATTGCTGAATTCGGAGATGGCTGTCACTCTGATAGATAAAAAGCACTATTTTTTTGAGTATGGTAGAACATGCCTGCAATCCCCACTACTCAGGAGGCTGAGGCAAGAGGAATGATATTTAAGGCCCACCTGGGCAACTTGGCAAGACCCTGTGTCAAAATAACATAACATAACATAACATAACATAACATAACATAACATAACATAACATAACGTAACATAAAATGGGCTGGGGCTGTAGCTCAGTAGAGTAGTAGAGCACCCTTGGGTGTTGAATCATCAGTTCCTTAAGAAGGAAGAAAAGGAGGGAGGGAGGAGGGTGCGAGGGGCAGCATCTTGATTGGAAGAATGTGGAACAGGTTTCCGTATGTGTCAAAGAGCCTTTGCTCATGCAGCCTTGAACCTACTCAGATCCGCCAATGACCCTTCAGGGGATGCTGTATTACACCGCTTTTATTTCTTTTCCTTAGGTCTACTGTCCTCTGAAACCCCAGTCTTGCAAAACTGATTCAGAGGCTTTGTCTAGAAATCTATTTGTAGCAGCATCTAATAAACTGTAGCCTGTGGTCTAAATCTCTACTTCCCAATATGATGTATAACCTAAGAATTTTTTTATTTTTTTTTAATGGTTGAGGGAAAAAAAAATTACATCTCATGACATGCGAAAATATATGAAATTCTCTTTTTTTGTTTGTTTGGTTTTTTTCGTACCAGGAATCAAACTCAAGACCTTGCGCTTGCCAGGCAGGCACTTATGCCACTGAGCTCTATCCCTGGCCCGTGAAATTCTCATTTTAGTGGCCAGAGGTAGCCACCCTTGTACATTTACACTTTGTTTATCGCTGGAAATTTCTATTATTGTTGTTTTGTTTGGGTTGTTTTTTGGGACAGGGTCTTGGTATGTATTTCAGGCTGGCCTTAAACTCATTATATAGCCCAGACTGGCTTCAAACTCATGGCAATCCTCCTGCTTCAGCCTCCTGAGTGCTAGTATTATAGGTACATGCCACCACACCCAGCTCATTGCTGTTTCCATGCTATAATGTAAAGCTGACCAGTAATGACAGAGATTATGTCTCTGTAAGCCTAAAGTATTATGGCTCTGTAAGCCTTTATTTTGCCAACCCCCGGTTTCAATAGGTGGTTCTCAGCCGGGCACAGTGATGCACACATGTAATACCAGCACTCAGGAGGCGAAAGCAGGAAGATCACCGTGAGTTCGAGGCCAGCCTGGGGTACACAGTGAGACCTGTCTCAAAAACAAGAAGTGGTTCTCAAAGTCACCAGGAGGATACAACCTGGAGGAAACGTGACAACCTACTGCCTGGAAGGGAGAAGACCAGCAGGTGAAGTCGCTGCTGACCCTACCATTTCTCTGCCACATTATTTGCTGGTCCCCTTATAGACCTTGTGGTTGGCAGCAGTTCCCTTGTCCCTACCACGAGTTATAAAACTTGGTGGGCTTACAGAATTGGAAGTTATAATTTTCCAATACGCAGTTTTAACAAACATAACACCACAGCAACACTCATCAAATACTGTATGTGCTACCCATCTTGACACTTTGAGGGTCATGTGACCATTTCTGACCAATGAGCAAAGAACAAAATGGCTAACATTTCCGGGCAGAAGCATAGGAGAGTGGGGGTGTTATGGTTTATGTCTGGATGTCCCCCTAAAGCCTCATGCAGTCATGGGGCGGGCTTCTAGAGTTTGTGATTGATTCAGGGTCCAATGCTGGGATTATGGGTGTGAGTGCTACACCCGCCCTGGGGCGGGTAGTTTGCATATGATATAACAGAGGGAAAGAGGCTGCTTGCCTCTGCTGCTCCCCTTGTGCTCTTGCTGTTTTGGCTGTCTTCCCCGCCCCCTCTGCCATGACTGGTTGCCCTGTGCCATGTGCCATCCTGCCTTGGTACCAGCCCAGTATGGACTGAAACCTCCACAAGCAGGGAGCTACATAAACCTTTCCTTCCTTAATTTTGGGCGTTGGGTATTTTGTCTCAGCAAGGAGAGGAAAGTAACCAAGACAGGGGGTGTGTTCTTTGCCTCACCATGGCAACCTGGAAAGCCTGTCTTCTAAATGGTCCGCTGTGCAATGATGGGGACCCTGTCAGCCCAAGTCCCTGGTGTCTTCCAGAGGAGAGTAACGCATTTTCTTCTCAGCCCAGAATGGACATGATAGGTGAGCAAGAAAGAAGTCTTTGTTATGTTAAGCCTCTGAGCGGTCCAAGTTGCTTTCGATTCTAGGTAAGAAGCTGGCAAACACAGTACAGTCACACAGGACTGCAGGAGCGTGGGACAGTACAGGTCAACGGGCCCTAATCTAATAACCCACAACCTGAAAGTTCCAAACTGAAACGCTGAAAGGTTGACATACACTACAAGTAAGAAAATTCCACACCTGCCCTCCTATGACAGGTGACGGTCACAACACAGGTACATTAAAAAGACTGCGTAAAATTACCTTCAGGCTACGTATACAAATTATATAGAGAACATAAATTTTTGTGTTTAGATCTGTGTACCATCCCCAAGATATCACATTATGTGTGTGCAAATGTTCCAAAATTTTAAAAATATCAGAAATCTGAAACACTTCTGGTCCCAAGCATTTCAGATAAGATACTCAATGTTTAATAACCGTTTTCTTACACTCGCATTTGAGCAGAAG